ATGTGGTGCTGGGGGATTGAACCGCGGTCCCTGTGCTTTGCTTTGCTCAAGCTTGTTCTAAGTAGGTGCTTTAGACCACTGAGCCATCTCACCAGCCCAGCCCTTATTGTTTTTTAAATTTTTTTTTACTTTTAGAAAAGGTCTTAGGTCTGGGAAGATAGCTCAGTAGAATAAGTGCTTGCCTGGCAAGCGCAAGGGCCTGAGTTCAATCCCCCATTCTTCAAAAAAAGAAAAGAAAGGGTCTTGCTAAATTGCCCAGGCTGGGCTTGAACTTGAGATCTTCCTGCCTTATCTTCCCGAGAAGCCACCATGCCCAGGGACACTAGAACTTTTATTCCTAAGTGCAGCTTCGTACCCCTTCATCGCCCCCATTTCTCCCTGGCCTTCATTGCCCCGCTTCCAGGAACCACCATTCTGCTCTTAACTGCTGTGAGACAAACTGTCTAGTCCCATGTGTGAGTGCACCTTGGGACTCTCATCCTCTGGGCCTGGCTCTTTCCAGTGTGACAGAACAATGCCTTAGGTGTTAAATGACACAAAGACACTGCTATGATCCTTGTGATCCACACAAGGCAGTGGAGCCCATGTCAACTGCTGTCATTTGTAATGGCTAAGTGTCACTTTTCCTCAACTGGAAATATCTGAGCTTCTTAAAACATGTTCTGCAAGTGTATTTCCTTCAGCTCTTCTTCCCTGGCTCTGCAGCTGGGGCTGTGGTGCTGGAAAAGACAATGTGCCTGGGAGTATGACCTACCATGGCGTCTTCCAGGAGCAGGCATCTGTATTTGGTGAGCATAGCTTGAGTTCTCTTTAGGAGCTGAGTGGCAACTGTTTCAAATTCATTGTCCACTTTAGAAGAGAGGAAAAAAGAGTAAGTGTGTGGATCTCTCACTAGGCCTTCATCTCTGGAGATGAGCACCCTCTCCTGTGGCCGGTTAAGTGTCACGCCTTGTGCTGCTTTCCATAGTCCTCCCCCCACCCCCCCCCGGCCCCCCCCCGCCCCCCCCCCGACGTAAAGCCACTAACAGCGAGTAGGCTGAGTTCTGCTGGTCTGATGAGCTAAGCCCCATGTCACTCCACGGTGTGTGGACACAGCGACCACCAACTGTCCAGCTGGCCAGGTTGGTTTCACGCGAAGGCATGAACTTGGCCCAGACACTGTGCAGGGCATGGCCTACAGCTCTGTCCCTTGTCTTTGTCTCCAAAGACTTCACGTTTGCCGGCTCACCATCTCGAAGTGTTCACACCCTGTCTAATGCTGGGTGGGATCTTTATCTCCTGGGCTTCCAGGAGGCTCACAGTGACTGACAGACTCCACTGATCTCTGAAATCAGTGATGCCGCCAGGAACAGCCAAACCCAAACAGACAGCAGCACATCATCAAGATTATACACCACGAGCAAGTGGGATTCATCCCAGGCATGCAGGATGGCTCACGGTGCATAAGCAATAGATGTAATACACCACACTAACAGAGCCAAGGAAAATGGAAATCGTCTGATTATCTCAATAGACACAGAAAAAGCTTTTGACAAAATACAACATCCTTATGATAAAAAACCCTGCAGAAAATTCAAATACACAGTCTTTATCTCAATCTGATAAAAGTCATCTATGTCAAACCAATAGCCAACATCATACTAAGTGGACAAAAACTGAAAGCTTTCACTCTAAAATCAGGAACAAATCAGGCTGGAGATTTGGCTCAGTGGCACAAGCCCCTGCCTGGCAAGTGCATGAGTTGGATTCCTGATACCAAAACAAGATCAGGAACAAGACTAGGATTGTTCACTGTATCTATTCTTATTTGACATAGTTCTGGAAACTTTCTTGTGTTTTTCTTTCCTTTTTTTTTTTTTTTTTGTTTTGTTTGTTTATTTATTTATTTTGTGTGTGTGGCCAGCTCAGCCCACCAGGGGGCGGGGCTGGCTGGCATGTGGTGCTGGGGGATCGAACCACGGTCCCTGTGCTTTGCTTAGCTTGTTCTAAGTAGGTGCTTTAGACCACTGAGCCATCTTACCAGCCCCTGTTTTCTTTCCTTTTCCTTTTCCTTTTTTATTTTTATTTTTTGTCTTTCTGAGACAGAATTTCCCTATGTAGTTCAGGCTGACCTTGAGCTCACTTTATAGCCCAGGTTGCTCTCAAACTCACAGGGATCTACCTGCCTAAGCCTAGTGCTGAGATTACAGGTGTGCACCACCATGCCCAGCCAGTTCTGGAAAATTAGTTAGAGCAATTAGATAAGAGAAAGAAATAAAAGGAATGAGTCAGGCATGGTGGGGCACGCTTATAATCCCAGCACGCAGGAGGCTAAGGCAAGATTGTCGTGATTTCGAGACCAGGCTGGGCTACAAAGTGAGTTCAAGGGCATGAAAAAAAAAAAAGAAAGAAAAAGGAATAATAATAGGAAAGGAAGCTGTTAAATTATCATTAGTGGGCCAGGGAGATGGCTCAGTAGAATAAGCGCTTCCCTGGAAAGCACAAGGGCCTGAGTTCAATTCCCAGTTCCGCAAAAAAAAAAAAAATTATCATTAGTTGCAAATGACATGATATTCTACATAGAACATCCCACTGTACTAAAAACCTGCTAGATTTAACAAATTCAGCATAGCTGAATACAAAGTCAACATTCAAATATGAACAGCCTTCCTGTTCACAATCCCTGACGAAATTACACTACAAAACTGCGTGATAAAATCAGCAGGGTAGTGGCAAAAAACAGACCCAAAGATCAATGGAACAGATAAGAAAATGTAGAAACCGGACATACTCAGCCTCATCTTTGAGAAAGGTACCAAACACCACCTTCGCTGGAAGAAAAACAGTCTAATAAATGGTCCTGGAAAACTGCCTTCTGCACATGCTGAAGGCTGAAACTGGATCCATATCTTTCACTGTGCACTAAACTAAACTTGAAATGGATCAAAGATCTAAATGTTAAAACAGAAACATTCAATTTGCTAGAAGACAGAACAGGTAAAATTCTTGAAGACACTGGTGTAGGCAAAGACTATGACTAAAACCCCCACTGCACAGGAGCTATCACAAGGAATCAATAACTGGGATCGCATCAAAAAGTCTTTGCACAGGGGCCGGGGAGATAGCTCAGTGGAATAAGCACTTGTCTGGCAAGCTCAAGGAACTGAGTTCAATCCCCAGTTCCTCAAAAAAAAAAATTAAAAAAAAAAACAATTTAAAAAAAAAAAAAAAAAAGAAAAGTCTTTGCACAGCAAAACCCATTTTGTGGGGAAAATAATGTTTGCCAGCTCTTCCTCAAAGAATTACTGAGAACATATAAAAAACTGAAAAAAAATCAGAGCTCCCAATTTTCTTTTTCTGTATTTAGGACAGGGTCTAGGGTCTACAAAGTCTCACTATGTGGATCTGACTTGTAGTGATTCTCCTGTTTTCAGCCTTCCAAGCATCGGGATTACAGGTGTGCGCCACCATGCCCAGTCTCAATTGCTGTCTCAGTGTGTCCTGGGGGTGGGGCTGGCATGGCATGCCAGGGGGATCGAACCCCAGCCACTGCGCTCTGCCTAAGAAGGTATTTTAGTCTACTGAGCTATCTGGCTGGCCCCTAAAGCTCCCAAATTTAAAGACCTAATCCAAAAATGAGCATCTGGGGCTGGGGAGATGGCTGAGTAGAATAAGTGCTTGCCTGGCAAGCGCAAGGGTCTGAGTTCAATCCCCGGTTCTGCAAAAAAAAAAAAAAAGGCATCTGAGATGAATACACACTTCTAAGATGAAGAAATAAAATTAGTAAATAAATATATTAAAATGTTCAGCATCGTTGGCCACTTGAGAAATGCAAATTAAAACAATGTTGAAGGCCAGGAAGATAGCTCAGTGGCTTAAGTACCTGCCCAGCAAGTGCAAGATCCTGAGTTTTGATCCCTAGTACCAAAAAAACCCCAACAACAACCCAACAAATCAAGTTAAAACAATGTTGAGATTCCATCTCACCCCAGGATGAATGGCTATTATGAAGAAATCAACCAATGGCAAGTGCTAGCAGGGTTCTAGGGAGGAAGGAACGCTTCTCTACTGTTGGTGAGTGTAGGCTGTGAAACCCCTATGGGACCTGGTGTGGAGATTCCTCAAAAAACTGGGATTGGAGGTCCCATTTGACCCAGCTATTCCTCTGATATCTTCCTAGAAGAATTCAAAACATCATACCACAGTGATATATGTGAACCCACGTTTCTAGGAACACCATTTGTAATAGATCCTGAAATCAGCCTAAACGCCCAACTGAGGAACAGATAAAAAGATATGGTACTCTATGCAGTCATCAAGAAGGGTAAACTGGAGACTTTCATATATAAGTGGATGCATCTCGAGACCGTACTCATAAGTAAAATAAGCCAGATGCACATATGTAAGCATATTATCTTCCTAGTATGAGAAGCTGAAAGAATGAGTGAGGTCCAAAATGTATAATAGACATTATAAAATGGAAAGAAACTGTTCAAAAGGAAAGAGAAACTAGGATGGGGGAAAGAAGGAATGGAAAAGAAAAAATATATACACATATATATGATAATTAAGACAGTTATGCTACTCACTACTAATTTCTTAGTACATTGAAAAGGAAGGTTTCTGCTAATATTGTTTGAACAATTAAATGCCTATACCTTGTACTCTGAAAAACTAATTTAAAGACAACAATACACAAGGTATTAACCATTGTTACCCTCCTATTACCTTCTTTTGCAATTTTCTTTTTCGCTATTAAAAAAAAAAAAAAAAGAAGAAGCAACAGCCAAACCAAGGCCCCGGGAGGGAGGACTGGACGCGGGAGGGCGCTCATGCAGCCAGGGCTGGCAGCTGGCCCAGCAGCAGGACGGGTGGAGTTCGAGGCTGGGCAGCGGCCTCGGTCCCTTACCTGCCAGTCAGTTTCTTGATGCTACAGTTTATATGTACATGTCCCCCAAGAACCTCTTGCACTTACAAAGCAGGGCTTTTGGAGGGGGGCTGGATCTTGGGGGCTCACTGCTGACTTGCTGTGGGGAGGCTGGGCTTGGAGGAGGTGGCGGCTGGGGGTGTGCCGGAAGGACGCGTCTCCTGCTCCAGCACACTGTGCACTCTGCTTCCTGGCCACAGGATATGCACAGCTGTTCACTCTGTGCCCCTCTGCCCTGCTGTTTCTATCTTGGAACCAGCCAATCCTGGCTGGAAACTGAGCCAAAATAAACTTTTCTGCCATAAGCCCTGGGTGCCCAATACTGTGTCTCAACAACAGCAAAGCTAGCATAACTTGGGACCCGAGCACTGAGTCCAGAGCTGTTCTATCTGCTGCGTTCACTGCTCCACTGTGTGGGAAGAAGGCATGCTGGTGTGGGGTCCCGATGCCGGGACGTGGAGAAGGTAAGCCACAGCCCCACCTGGGGGCTGAGAACCGGGAGCCGGGGAGCAATGCCAGTCTGCTGCCCTGACGATGAGCAGTGCCCATGCCTGAGGGCAGCACAGGTGCCCGTGTGGGTGCCATGTGGCTCACCTTTCCTCAGGTCGTCCTCAGTGGGCATGGAGCCCTGGCACACGTGGTAGGAGAGCAGCCTCTGTACCGCGTCACTGCGTGAGCGGAACTGGCTCTTGTCAGGGGTCACGGCATGGGCTTGGTCCCTCTGTAGCTGCTGGAGGATTCTGTGGAGGGAAGAGACAGGTTTGTACAATTGCGGTGTGGCACGTACATGCGTGCAGAGGAAGCAGAGCCAGGAGGGCTGCTTTCACAGAGCAGCATGGTTCTCCCCTCAGTGTGTCCTTGGTGGTCAGGGGCACCGCGCTGCTCCCAACCGCCCGCGGGGTGTCCCTCAGCCTGCATGAAGGGACCCTTGCCCAGCTATACCCAGGCTGACGCGACTGCCTCCAACACGGAGTCAGTTCATCAGCACACCTTCTCCTTGGAGATTCTGTCTCCAGGGAGCAAGGAACTGTTCTTCAGGACAAGTGAGCAACAGGAGGCTCAGGCTGTGGCTGATATGTTCATGGGCCAAGCAAAACCAAACTGCAGGAAAAGATGTCCAAGTTCAAGACTTTTTTTTGTTACTGGGAATTGGAAGCAGGGGCTTTTTTTCCCCCCCTTTCCCCCGCTTTTTTTTTTTTTTTTTTTTTTTTTTTTGTACTTGGTACAGGGTCTCACTATGCAGCTCTGATTCATAGTGATTCTGTTTTCAGCCTCCCCAGTGCTGGGATTACAGGCGTGCAACACCATGCCTGGTATAAAGTACATTTTTATTTTTTTTTTAATTTGTATTTATTTATTTATTTATTTGTGTGTGTGTGTGTGTGTGTGTGTGTGTGTGTGTGTGTGTGTGTGGCCAGCTCAGCCCACCAGGGGGCGGGGCTGGCTGGCATGTGGTGCTGGGGGATTGAACCGCGGTCCCTGTGCTTTGCTTTGCTCAAGCTTGTTCTAAGTAGGTGCTTTAGACCACTGAGCCATCTCACCAGCCCCTAAAGTAGATTTTTAAAATAAAAAATAAAATAATGAAAAAAAAAAAGTATATTTTTAAAAAGGCTATTAAGTTCTTTATTGTAACCTGGTTTCTGGAGTATATTTATTAAAGTGAGGGCCCAGGGAAATGTTGGAAGTTAATCTGTTGTTTCCAAAGGTACTCACAAAGTGCCTTTTGTGAGCTGTTTTGTAGCTGGCCTCTTCTGTCCTCCTGAGTGACTGTCCACCTAAGAGAAAGATAGCTCTTATTAGTCCCTTCTACAGAAAAAGCAGCAGCGTTCAGTGACCTGGAAGGTCAACATGTTCCAAATGGTTTCAGTGGCTTATCAAGAGCACATTCTAGGACTCCAGGGTGTGTCTTGCTAAGAACCCAACAACCCTGCAGATCCAGGGCAGCAGAGCTGTGCTGTACGCAGGTGACAGAAAGTGGTGCTGTAACTGCCAAAAGACTCAAGTGTCTAAGTGTGTAGGGCTTTTTATGTTTGTTTAATGTATTTGTAACAGGGTCTCACCATGCAGCTCAGACTCATAGTGATCCTCCTGTTTTCAGCCTCCCCAGTGCTGAGATTATAGGCGTGCGCCAACACACCCAGTCTTGGTGGCCAGCTCAGCTTGTCTGTGGGCGGGGCTGGTGGGCATATGGTGCCAGGGATTGAACCCCAATCCCTTTGAACCCATCCCTTCGCTTGCCTAAGCAGGTGCTTATCTGCTCAGCTATCTCAATGGCCCTTGTTTTTTTTTCCTGTATTTTTTAGGGAAGGGCCTACAGGGTGTTCAGGGTCTCACTACTAGATCGGACCTGTAGTGATCAGCCTGTTTAGAGCCTCCCAAGAGCTGAGATTACAGGTGTGCGCCACCATGCCCAGTCTCAATCGCCATTTCATCAAGCCCTAAGGAACTGAACCCCTGGCCCCTGTGCCTGCTTGCAGATGCTTTAATCTACTGAGCTATTTGGCCAGCCCTTAGTATTATATTTTTGAAGCAATGTGTGTGGGTACCAGCTCCATGAACACAGAAATCAGCAGGTGCCACTCAGTCATCTGGGCAGTGGTAAGGGACTGGCACTCAGGCTCTGGCATGTAGCCTGGGGGTGTGGTTTAAAAGCTGATTTCTTATGTCACATTAGGGAGACAAGTCTGCTGTATGTGAGACTCTGAGAGAATGAAACAGATCCTTCTCTGGGTACCGTGGGGCTAGCCCAGACTGTGGTAAGTTTCACTGAAATCTAACTGGTAATTTTTTTTTTTTTCCTTTTGGGAGTATTGGGAATTGAGCACGCAACCCTCCTGATTCAGCCTCTGAGAGTGCTGGGACACCCAGGTGGTACATTTCTTGAGTTTCTAGTAGGTATGTTCTTTTTTTTTTTAAATAATATTTATTTATTTATTTATTTATTTATTTATTTATTTTTATTTTGTGTGTATGTGGCCAGCTCAGCCCACCAGGGGGCAGGGCTGGCTGGCATGTGGTGCTGGGGATTGAACCGCGGTCCCTGTGCTTTGCTAAGCTTGTTCTAAGTAGGTGCTTTAGACCACTGAGCCATCTCACCAGCCCCTAGTAGGTATGTTCTAAATGCTATTTCTTTTACTTATTCATTCATTCACTTATTCCCTTCTTGGTTCATGAACTGCTGGGAACAGAGCACACGCTAGGTAAGTGCTCCTCCAAACTGAGCTCCACCCCAGCCCCTGCTGGGTCTTAGGAAATCATAGAAAAGAAACACATAGATGAAACAACGTGACGCGTCAGAAACTGCCTCGAGACTTTCAGTTCAGAAAGACGCCGGAGCACACTTCCGTTCAGCCACACAGACCACGAGCAAGCAGCCCGCAAATGGTGCCCACCTGCACGGCTGACTGCCCAGGAGACGAGCCCACCGACTTCTCCGACTGTGACTGTGAGGTTCCTAAGGATGCCGGCATCACTTTGCTGCCCGAATCCTGGCCTGTGAGGATTAAGACAGACAACAGCGCAGACACGCACATCAGACCTGCTGCATACCAGAGCCTCCTCCGGAGTCCCTTCACCAGGGATGCTTTCTGCAAGGGTGGGAGTAGCGCAGTACATTTCTCTACCAGGCAGAGGGGACAGCTATTAAAGCCTCTTTAGGCAATTAGTTAAGTAAATGGTAACAAATAGAAGCTGCACGTGTTGCAATTTCAAGTTATCTATGGACTAGGTCTCAAGCCTCCAAAATATAATATAAGGTCAAAGAGGAAGCTGACTTGGAATACCCGCATTTTGATCTTTTTCTAGCATTACTGAGTAGCTTGGGTATTCAAAACCTAAGAAAACTTGGCAGATGTTTCAGTTTCATGAGAGAATCCTTTTTTGGGGGGTGAGGGTGGGGGTAGGTACAGAGGTACAACCTCACCCCTTTAAATTTTTTTTTTTTTAAATTTTGGCAGGGTCTTGCTAAATCATGAAGAGGCCCAGACTGGGCTCACACTTGTAATCTCCTGCCCCAGCCTCCCAGAGGGCACCGCCACACCTGTCTGGGGTTGGTATCACACATACATACAATGACATGAGTAGAATTACAAAGTGATGCACACCTAGAACAGCTCTGATTGAGGCATATTTCTGCCAGGCCTGCCAGCAGGATCCTGTGCTCCCAGCACTCTAGGAGGCTAAGGCAGGAGGACTGTAAGTTGGACCTCAGTCTGAGCAACTCTCATACCCTGTCTCCAAAAAAGAAAAAGTGTTCTAGTTGTATTTTGTTCTTCTCTTAGTAATAAATGAAAAGGTGATATATCTTGGGGCTGGCGGCGCATTAGTTGGCTGGGAAGGGCACAGAGGAAGGAGTGCTTAAGGTGCAAGGAGCCTGGCAGGAAGTTCATGCAGACAGCTTAGGGCAGGGGGACGGGGCTCCTGACCTGGCAGCCCGGTGCTCGGGAGCCCAGGGATCTGCGCCGGCCTCAGGCCATCTGCAGCCTTGGAAGTGGAAACAGGGGAGGTTTGATTCAAACTCTTTTTCTGAGCCTGTGGAACACAACCAAGATGAGAAAATGAGTTTCTTGACTAAAAGCTTATCGATGACTTCAAATGCCAACCCAGCTTCTCAGGGCCTACCTAACATCACTTTCAGGTTTGGTGATAAAACAAAACTTTCGAAACATTATTTTAGAACACTGAGGAAATGTTGCGAAGTATAGTCCCCAAGATCTATAGCCAGAGCTGGTTATTGTGCTGCAACCTGTGATGCCTGGTGCGTGGGAGGCTGAGGCAGGAGGAGCCAGAGTTTGAGGCCAACCTGGGCAACCAGCAAGATCTTTCACATCTCAAAAATAAATGCGAGGGGCCAGGGAGTTAGCTCAGTAGAATAAGTGCTTGCCTGGCAAGCGCAAGGGCCTGAATTCAATCCCCGGTTCCACCAAAAAAAAAAAAAAAAAAAAGCGACCAATGAAATAAAACCAACAGGCACACTGCGTTTCTCAGTCTTGGCCTGTAGGGATGCTGCCTTGACGGGAGACTGTTTCCTTGCTCCCTGGCTGCTGCTCACAGCTCCTGGAGGCAAAGGCTGGGGCTAGAAACTGTGGGTTTTTTTTTTTTTTTTTTTTTTAGACAGGGTCTTGCTATGCACTTCAGGCAGGCCTTGAATTCTCAATTATCTTCCTGCCTCAACCTCCCAAGTGCTGGGACTATAAGTTCGGGCCACCATGCTGGGTAAAATTCCGTGATGTTGTGTCACATCCGCTGGAATTATAACCCTAATTAGCAGTCACTGTGTGGCTGGGGCCCCTGGCCAATCCCCAGCTTCTGTGGAGAGGCGCTATCTTGCGGTGTACCCCAAGGTAAGCATATTCACCCTTGCCCTCCGGGGCGTCTCCAGTTTGTACCATGTCAACTCGAACTCCAGGTGGCCGGGACCCAGGAAATGTAACTCCTACTTAATATTTACCTGAGTGCAATGTGATAACTTAGTAGGATGGCCACACTGTTGTGTGTGGTTTTTTTTCTTTTGTGCAACCGGGGATTGAAGACCCTTGCACTTGCCAGGGAAGCACTTACTCTACTAAGCCATCTCCCCGGTCCCACACACTGCTGTGTTTTTCAGCTTTTTTTTTTTTTTTTTCCAGGGGATTAAAACCAGAGTGCTAGGCATTAGCACAGCCGAGTCCCAACCTTCTAACCACTGTCCTGGAGCATGCTGTACCCTTCCCTTGGGACTGGACACTGGAGGCAGAGGCCAGGGTAATGTGGATGGGGCCAGGGTGGCCATCACCCCTCTCTCCTGGGGCACTCACTAGGTCCCTATGCTGAAGCCTCTTGGAGTTCATGGTGACCTGGTGGCCTGAGGTCCTCTAGCCTGAGCGTAGGACTTCTGTCTGTCTGGTCACTGCTGGATGCCTAGCATCAGCACGGGGCTGGGCACAAAATGTGCACACAGGACATAGTTACTAAATAAAAAATAAGTGAATGAATTATACTGAGGCACATGTTGCAGTCCCACTCACTCCAGCCTGAATGAGCCATCAACTTCATTTTCCCAAAGTTTAGGTTGTCCCAGCTGATGGTCTTTTCTAGAGATAAAATTTACTACTGTCTTATTTTACTGAGCTTTATTTTGCTTTTGAGGGGGGGCCTCTCCTCGTAGTAGCTCATGCTCGCCTTGAACTCATTATGTGGGCTGGGCTCGCCACGAACTCCCAGTGAACCTCCTGTCTCAGCCTATCACCTCATTTGGCTGTTTCATTGGACTTTTAGAGAAGAGTATTTATTTATTCTTACTTTTTTTTTTTTGCGGAACCAGGGATTGAACTCAGGCCCTTGCATTGCCAGGGAAGCGCTTATTCCACTGAGCCACCTCCCCAGCCCTCATATTTATTCTTAAAATACATTTTCTTTGCAAATATAAAAGCTATCTAAAGATATAGATACTGTGACATAGAATGGAGTTATGTCCAGACAAATCCATGCTAACATCAAAAAATTTTGTTGTTTTGTTTTGTGCTAAAAGGGATTGAATTCAGGACCTTATGCTTGCTAAGCAGGTGCTTATGCCACTAACTTATCTCCCTGGCCCTAAGGTCAAAAAATTATGAAGCTGATTTCAGAACTCTGGGAGCCTGAGGTAGGAGGATTGAAAGTACAAGCCCAACATGGGCAATTCAGTGATTTAGTGAGAGCCAGTCTCAAAATAACAAAAAAAAGGTCTGGGGATGTAGTTCAGTGCAATCCCCAATACTGTTAAAAAAAATTTTTTTTTTTATATCATGTAGACAGAAAAATTTCAATGAACTCAAAAACCTAATGTCCCTGCCCTGTCCCCTTGCAGGACAAGTGGAAGAAGCCAGTCCCAGAAGCAAGAAGCCAGAACCTCAAAGGTGGAGGAGTGGTTGGAGTCCACCACAGTTCTCCTCTGGAATCGCTCCACTGCTGCAAAGATGGGTTGGTGGCCGCAAGGCTGGAGAAACACAAGGACTTCTGTCTGATGTGTGAGGAAGTGGAATGAATAAAAGCTGAACAAAAATCCAGAATTCTCCATAGATCTGCCAGTTCCCCACAGGAAGCACTAGAGAGAAGGCTCTGCTCGGTTCTTGCAGTGGAGAAGTCGGGGCTGTTCTGGAACACGCCTGTTCTCAGCCAGACCTACGCTAGAAAAAGCTCTCTGCTGGGCTAATTCAGAGGCTAACAGACTTAGGTATTTGGGTTTTTGTGAGGGGAAAGAAATACCTAATTTTAGTCCCTTTTCACATGCTGGAAGCTATTTTTGTTTGTTGAGAGAGTGTCTCCCGTTTGCTGAGTGTGGTGGCTCACACCTGTAATCCCAGTACCCGGGAGGCTGAGGCAGGAGGGTCATTTTGATTTAAAGGCCAGCCTGGGCTATATGGTGCATTTAAGACCAGCCTGAATAATACAGTGAGACCCTGTGTCAAAACACAAAACAAAACAGAAAGAAAGCAAGGAAGAAAGGAAATGGGGTAGAAAGACAAACAGATGGCAAAGGTTAAGTCTGATGGTCTCAGACAAAAACAAGGAACAAGGTGCTGGGAAGGGAGAAGGTCAGTCATGTCAGAAAGGGTAAAGAGCATGGCTCGCTGTGCCCACGTCTCTGGACTGTGTGGACAGCAGCGTGTATGAGAATGGACATCTGATGGAGGACGTTTCTAAGCAAAACATTAAAGGGATAATGGCCTCTTTTAATTGCATACAGCAAAAGTAAGAGAAATGATTAAAAAGAGCGAATTATAATTAAAAGGAAAGCAGAATATGAAATTTCTCAGCCTGGCCTTGTTTTTGGTCAAACTGGGGATTGAACTCAGGCCCTTGTGCTTGCCAGGGAAGCGCTTATTCTACTGAGCCATCTCCCAGTCTGGCCATATTAACAGAAAGAAAGTGTTCAAGAGAGAGGAGCCAGAGACTGTTCACAAGATGAGGGGGATGACTGAAGGCCTGGCAGCTGGCTGTGCATGTGGCTGCCCCTGAGCCGCCCCCAGTTGGTGCAGGGTCTTTGAGGCTGTCCTTCCCTATGTGGGCCCAGGATCTAGGATGGCATGACACTTTTGGAACAGCCTTTGGGAGCCCCTGTGTGCTTGTTACAGGGGTGCCTCAGGCCTGTACGCCAGGCTCCAGCCCAGGGCTCTCGGCTGCCCCAGCATGGCTCAGGCAGGAAGGATATAGCTGGGCACAAGTGCCAAGCCTGGTGCTACCATGTGGTGCTAACATTGCACCTCACAGCCTGGGGCCACAGAGAGACCTCAAGACCCCAGAAAAGTGGAGACCAGCAAGCAATACCAGCTGGCACAGCTGTAGGCACAAGATGCCACCTGTATGAGCCACTGCCCAGGCTGAACCCAGTAAAGCCACGAGGGTAGAGTTGTCCAAGGCTGGGACCAACCCTACCTTAGGATGGCAGGAGGTGGCACAAAGAGTAGAAAATGATCCTGGAACTTTAAGTCCTGTCCCCCCCACACCACAAAACCCGCACCTTCTCCCTGAGCTCCACCTCCAGCTCATTTTTATTTCCTGAGACAAGGGCTTGCTGAATTGCCAGGGCTGGGCATGAATGTGTGGTCCTCCTGCCTCTTCGCAGATTGCTGGAATTAGGTTTAGGCTCCCTTCTGAGCTAGCAAGTTTAAGGTTTCTGTTATCCTTGCTGGTTCAGCACCTTCTTTTTCCCGTATTTCTCCCTCTTGGGACCCGAGTGCCTATTTTGTGTCTGTCGCACCACTGTGTGTTGGAAGCACAGAACCTGCTTAACCTCACAGGTGCCCAGGCGCAGGTGTTCACTGCGCAATGAGTGGCACCTTCAGTCTGACTCCCGTCAGACGCAGAGAAGACGTGGTCTCTGCACTTGGGGGCTGGTGCTGGAATGAAGAAGACTTTGGGGGCTGAAGGGATGGAGCAAATGAATTTTGCATATGAGAAAGCTATGGTTTGGGGGGCTGGGGTGGGATGCTACAGTTTCTAAAGCATTTGATGCACCTATTCGTGTGTGTCCCTGGAATTCCTGTCTCAGCATCCTCACCCGCAGCATGGCAAGCCTTGAGGATGGGTGATGAACAGATTAGCACTGTAATAAAGGTGAGGCTCCCGACAGAAGAGCTTGCCCCCCCACATTCATTCTTTTTTTTTTTTTAATTAATTTATTTATTTTGTGTGTGTGTGTGTGTGTGTGTGTGTGTGTGTGTGTGGCCAGCTCAGCCCACCAGGGGGCAGCCCTGGCTGGCATGTGGTGCTGGAGGATTGAACTGTGGTCCCTTTGCTTTGCTAAGCTTGTTCTAAGTAAGTGCTTTAGACCACTGAGCCATCTCACCAGCCCCACATTTATTCTTAATTTCTTAAGAAACATTTCTCAAGATAATTTTTTTTTTTTTGCCCAGAACTGGAGATTGAACTCAGGACGTTATGCTTGACAGGCAAGCGCTTATTCTACTGAGCTATCTCCCCAGCCCCTCAAAATAAATTTTAAACTATTCTGCACTAAATGAAAGCATCAAATTTGTGGAACGGAGTCAGGTACAACAGCATGTGCCTGTAATCTCAGCTACAAGGGAGGCTGAGGCAGGGAGCTGTGGGCTGGAGGCTAGCCTGAGCATTGTGCTAAGACCCTGCTTCAAAACAACATATGTGGACACAGTAAAAGTAATCTTTAAGGAAAATTATATACCATTCAATGCACATGTGAGAAAAGAAGAAAGACCTAAAATCGGTTATCTCATGCATCTGTAAGAGTAGAGTACTGCTTTGTAGCCAGAATAAACAACTGTTTTTTATATTAAGTATAGAGTAAGGAGAAAGGACAACAAAAATCAGGGTGGAAAAGCCACAAAACTCAATGTGGAAAACTAATAGGAAAAAAAAAATCAATGAAATTAAAAAGTTGGCTTTAGCTGGGTGTGATGCTGCACATCTATAATCCAGCACTCGGAGGCTGAGGAAGGAGGATCGATGCAAGTTCGAGACCAGCCCCAGCTACAAAATGAGCTCAAAGTCAGTCTGAACTGCATAGTGAGACCCTATCCAAAAAAGACAAAAGACAAAAATAAATAAATATTTGAAAGATTATTTTGAGGCCGGGGAGATGGCTCAGTGGAATAAGCCCCTGGCAAGTGCATGGGCCTGAGTTCAATGCCCAGTTCCACCAAA